CGCTTTAATAGCTTCTTTGAAGTGGAAAAGTGAAACTAGAGATCTAATAGACTCCTAATGCCATCTTAAAGAGAACCTGTCCCCTCCAATGTGCTATCACATATGTGATCGCAATAAAGTAAAAAAAGAAAAAAAAAAAGTTTCAAAAAATTACATTACAAATAACAAAAAAAATAATAATATAATATGTAGAGTCCCCTATCCATGTTAAAGTGCCCATACTAACAGAAACACAAGCCGGGTGCACCTGCGTATGAAAACAATGATATGCCCACCCACCCACAGTACCAGCTTTAAACATTGCCCATCAAAGTGAAGCCACCACCGGGCCAACGTGACTCTGCCCAGCCCCCACTTATACTGGCCTGACCCTTGCAAGCATGTTCTCCTTCAGGTCCGCTCCTCTGCTGATTAACAGCAGGCAGTGGGCGGGTGCAATAATCAGTTTGCTATTGGCTATTGCCAACAGCCAAAAGAAGGCCAGTTACTGTGCCTGCCGACTACCTGCTGTGTTTACACTCAGCTGCTGGCTGCGGAATCTCACCGCCGGCAGCTGTCATTCCCCCATTGAAGCTATTCAAGCACAATGTGCGCTTAAATAGCTTCTTTGAAGTGGAAAAGTGAAACTAGAGATCTAATAGACTCACAGAAACACAAGTCGGGTGCACCTGCGTATGAAAACAATGATTTCGCTGCACACATTTTCTATTTCTAAAGGGAAATATCAGGGGTCCAAACAGCCCCAAAGCCCCTAACAATAAAGTAAAAAAATATATATTTTTTATAAAATCATTAAAAAAAAAAAGTCATTTTTTTACGGCCTGACACATATTGAAATTTCGCTTTCAGTCTAAAAATGTCATTTTGGTGCATGCCTAGTAATAAATGGTTCACCACAACGCACAGCACTGGATAGGTGTGAATAGGCTCTTAGCACGCAGACTACAAAGTGCACCTCAACACTTGGACTGATCGACCCTGGCGTCTCACAGGGTGACTGGGAATGTTCTTCCAGACGCCTGTAATTTTCGCTCTCTGATTCCTGAAATACTCGTCAAATTTAAACCTCCAAAGTCGAGTCAAATCTGGTTGGTGGCCATTCGAAACTTCTCAGTGTGGCCGTAAACTGGTCAATTTCGACCAGTATCGGTCTAGTCCTGGTGAAATCCAACCAGTATGTGGCCCCAATGGGAACAGAACCGCATCCCATCAATCAGACTGGGTGTGTCTGGGAATACGTATCCTTCATCACATGCAGGGGTTCCCGGATAAAGTGCATTGTTTTTTCTGTTTAGAGCGGCTCCATGTGTATTTGTACAGCCGCCCCGGTGTGAATGTAGCCTTAGTGTTCACCATTACATTCGTACAATTCCATGGAGGTTTTAATGTTGCATAAAGTCACACAGGTCTGCGATTGGGGCTCATTCACACCACACAGCCCATGCACTGTCATTGTTAAAATGCATTTCGGTGCTTACTTTTTTTTTTTATTGTTTTTTGCTTTTTTAACCCCCAAACTGTATGCAATTCTTATGCACTGCAGCACGTTGCGATACAATACGGCATGCCGGAATGTGCTGCGGTGTCCACAAATGCAATGCGTCCTCCATTTCAGTGCATTGGTGTACCCTGAAGCCATAGGATAGTAGGACAGAAGGCAAATTGCCTTGTTTGCTTTTGGACTTTTGGACAGCTGGTGTGAATGAGCCCTTAAAGTATATCTTGTTTTTTTTTTTTTTATTTGGGATAGAGTAGGGAATGGTGACAACTGCTGTCAGACATTTTTGCCTGTGTCCTGTGGGGAAGATTTCCCTTCACTTTCTGTCCTGGTGACATAACAGGATATAGGGTGAAATCCCCTCTCAGCTGTCACTGGGTCAAGTTCCCCATTGGAAGATGTCTCCTCACTTCCTGTTTCAGTAACAGTTGTACAATTGTGGATTTCCTGTCTCTAACACAAACAGAGAGGGCTATAGGTGTTTTTCTTCTGTAAAAAAACCCATAAAATAATGGAGAGAATTAGAGACTTTTTTAGCACTAGTACAGGTCCAATTGAGGGCTTGTTCACACCAATTTTGTTGCGATCCAGAATGGTAGCTGCTGGAACGCACAGCAATGGCTCACTAAACTGCCCTCTTCGTTCTGGGGCGGGAGGGGGCGTGGTGGTGCTTTGAAGTCAATGGCACTGCATCCACGGCCCCCCTGTCCACAGTGTGATCGGACGCGTGGCAAACCATTGCCTGCGTTTCGGTTCACTGCGAATGCAAAAAAATGCTGCTGTTTTTTGCGTTTGCAGTGGACCGGAACGCAGGCAATGTTTTGATCGCACTGTGGGCAGAGGGGCGTGGCTGCGGCGCCATTAACCTCAATGCACCACCATGCCCCCTCCCGCCCCAAAACGAAGGGGGAAGTTTAGTCTGTGATTGCAGTAGCTGCTGGAACGGACTGCAATTGGTGTGAAGAAGCCCTGAAAGGAGCTTCCGCAACTCTAAGGAGCCATTTACAGTTTACTGCACCCTTAAAGCTGACCTCCAGGGTTTTTGTAAAAAGTACCCTTCATTGGACCACCCCGTCACCCACCCCCAACCCCCTGACAGCAAGCCTTAAATGCTCATTAAGTCTAGGGGTAAAGGAATAAGTTGTAATACTTCTTACCCAACTCTTCACTCCTGCAGGCTTCCAGCCCTCTTCTTCCTGATGCCCCGGGCTGAAAGCGGGCCCTCGCCATTCTCATATACAATGCTGAACTGCTGGGCCTGCATTTTACATGAAGCTGGAAGTACGGCCGCCAGCCGGAGATCCACAGAAATTAGAATTCAGGGGATTGGTCACATAGTGTGAAGAAAGCCTGCAAGTATTACAGCTTATTCCTCTACCCCTTATTGAGAGGACCCCCTACAAGGGTATTTTTTATTATTAAAAAAAGTCCCAGAGTTCAGCTTTAAAAATAAACAAAACCACCCGAAATTCATTTGGCGCCAATGTAGTTTACAAAAATAACATGGCAAAATTTAGCAAAAATGTCCCGATTACCAAAATTTTGGGGAATCTCCAGGGAGCTATATACAGCACCCTACCAGCCTCTCCCACCAGCCATTAGCTCTCTGTATTACATAGAGAAGCACAAAGACCCTGTGATGGTATTACTGGGAATAAAATACATTTCCCAATTATTACCAACATTTGGGGGGAAGCAAACACTCTCAATGTCTCTCATCTCCAGGGAGCTATGTACAGCACCCTTCCAGCCTCTCCACCAGCCATCAGCTCTCTCTAATACATAGGGAAGCACAAAGACCCTGTGATGATATTACTGGGAATAAAAATAAATCTTCTATTCAAGAAGAAAGGTTTCATTTTAAGATTTAATTAGCAAGCTGGGAAAAGGAAGACTCGGCAAAGGCAAGATAGAAGCAGAACTTCAGCATTAAAGCCAAAACATCTAACAGATGTAATACATATATGGCTGTTTTACCATCAAGATGATTAGTATTTCGGTTCATCCAGGCCTGAGAAATAAACATCACTACTAGGCACCAGGACCAGGCTGGCGACCTTACTTTTCTCTTGAGCTTGATCACCTCTGTGCACCTCAGACCCATAATGGATAGTGAAAGCACAGCGATGGATCATCCCTCTGTTCACTGTGCTCCATGGGTACATTTTACAGCAGCCCGGAGTCTTTAAGCTCCTCAAGGGATTTATAGCACCCCTGTATATACTTCAGATTAGTGAACCCGGTGCAGTCTTGCATGACTGCAGGAATATGGCTTTTCCATTACGGCCTATGAAGAATAGATAGTGCATATGCAGTACAGCACAGCCCCACTGGCTCAATGAGCACAGAAGCACCATCCAGCCCTGCATAAGCCATGACTTCTGCATAAGGTCACCTGTTGAAATGAGGCGAAGACAAGGGAATATAGGAAACATGGAGAGTGTGAGGAGGACAAAGGATGTTATGCTTAGCTCAGAAAAAAGTAAAAGATATCTTTGATGTTTATTACAAAAACACAGATGGTCTTTAAATTGCAAAACCTTGTGGTTGTCTCTTTCCTAACCAAAAGGCTCTACTGGTCACACCCAGGGAACAGCGATGACCATTTCTGGACAGAAAGCATCTTCATATAACTTAACTGGTACATGTATAGCTTATATATAAGCACTACAATGGCAGCGGAGCTTCTAACCAACCTTGGTTTGATTGAGAGGATCATTTCTTAGTCTCTGTTTGTTCTTCTGCAATTTACTGGGCATCATCTTTCCCGTTCTGAAGTCAAAACAGCTGAGGTCAACAGAGTTCCCCAGGTACCTGGCCAACTGAGGCTTGCTTCTGAACTTCTTACCGCTCGGACTAGAAAGAAGAAAATACTTTAGTATGGTTCTGGAATCACAGGGGGACTTATCAAAGTATCATCCTGCAACTCCAAGAAACTTCAGGTGAAATCTTGAAGGTCCAATTAAAACTCGTCGTAGGAAGGACACCAGTAGGTTAAACCACTCTCTATATTAAGACATTCTCAGATTCTGGAGGAAAGACCTCTGCACGGGGCTTTCTGACCATCACTATGATGAGATAAAGCCACTAAGAGGAGATGTTCCCTTTGGGATCCAAAGATTTTCTAAGCCAGTAGGTGACTAATAAAAAATAACTCAGATGCTGGAAGGAAGACCTCTGCACCGGGTTTTGCTGACCAACACAAAGATGAACTGAAACCATTAAGCGGAGATGTCCCCTTTGGGATCGAAAGATTTTCTAAGCCAGTAGGTGACTTGCAGGGTTATTCACAAAAGGGTGAAGAGTTTGGAGCTGTCAGGAGAAGAGAACAATCTAGGACAACATAGCTGATTTGGAAAAATTCTCCAATGCAGCTCACTTTCCAGTTCAGCTATGTTGTCCTAGATTGTTCACTTCTCCTGTCTTCTCCAAACTCCTCACCCTTTCGTAAATAACCTTGTAAGAAAAAATAATTCAGATCCTGGAAGGAAGACCTCTGCAAGGGGTTTTCTGACCATCAAAGATGAACTGAAACCACTGAGATAAGATGCCCCCTTTGGGATCTAAGGATTTCCTAAGCCAGTAGGTGACCAAGAAAAACAAACACAGATCCTGGAGGGAAGACCTCTTCACAGGGTTTTCTTACAACCATCACAATGTCGAGATAGAACCATCGACAGGAGATGTCCCCTTTGGGATCCAAAGATTTTCTGAAGCCAATAGGTGACTAAAGGTGCCCATACACCTGCCGATTATCATTCAATAATCGCGGGTGATCCCACGATTGTACGATAATCGGCAGGTGTATGGGCAGTGTGCGACCGCTTCTACTGTAAGGTGGCACGACTTTCGTCTTCCGAGTACGCTGGAAAACCTGCCGAAAATCGTACGATTTCCGGCGGGTTGGTGGCGTGCTCGGAAGACGAATGCCGTACAGGCCGGTGTGCGCAAGCGCACACTGCCCGCTCAGTACTGCAATCAGCGGAAGCCCTGCCCTCAGCGGGGAGGGCTTGCGATGATCTGCCTGTCCAAGATGGGCAGATCGTACGAAACTTTAATCACCTTACAACCATCGAGCAACAAAAGTCGTGCGATGGTTGTAAGGTGTATGGGCAGCTTAAGAAAGAAAATTCCTGGAGGGAAGACCTCTTCACAGGGTTTTCTAACTCTACCATCACAATGTAGAGACAGAACCACCAAGAGGAGATGTCTCCTTTGGGAACCAAAGGTTTCCCAAGCCAGTGGGTGCCTGAACAAGCTGAAGGAGAGTTTGGTACAAGTGGCAACGATATTCTAAGAAGCTAGTGAGAAGATGAAAGAGGAACATGCATGAAGTGATTTGAGAGAGGCTCCTCTTTGCATCTCTAGAGTTTAACTGTCCCTTTGATTTTCTATCTTCCCTCTTTTTTTTTCTAGCTACTTCTTAGAACACACAACAGGTCACTTGTCCACAACCTAAATTTCTAAGCATTACAATGGTATTCAATATTCAACAAAGGTTTAAGTCTCAGAGAGTCTTCAGGGAAGAGTTAAAGTGCACAGACTCCATCTACCAAAGACTGATATTTCAGTTTTTAGTAGATGCGGGAGTGTTGCACCCCCTAATGGTTTTCTTACTCATCTGTCCTGAAATGTGTGTGCTGTGGTAGTTAAATATGTGCGCCCGATGTGCCACATGTGGTCTTTATAAAATCAATTCCATTGTCCTTGCAAGATTTTTAGTTTCTTTAACTTTATAGAAAATTGAAGGAGGATGAGGAACACCTCAAGAGAGCAGGAACACCTGAAACTCCAGGATGGCCTTGGAAAGATCAAGTGCCAGGGGAGTCATCATGGTGCACAAGCATGCCCACTAACCAAAATCATCAATATTTAGGCCCAGAATATTCAAAAGTAGAGCAGTGGAGATGACAGGATTGTCTAACCATCATCTTCTGCCTGTGGCTTTCCTTAAAACTGTTCCAGGTCAACTGTTAATGTGTATGTGAACCCGAACATTGAACTTCTTATAGTCTCATTTGCTCTGTCGATTATACCATGGAATTTGTTTTGTTCCATCTCTTTGAGAAGTTCAAATAATATCTGTTGATCTTGCCAAAAATGTTAACCTGGTAACTTCCTGTGCTCTCTGCATCTGCTGACTGTTACCATTACATTGTTTTCTAAGCTATCTCTGGGGACTACAGGACAACACCTTTCTTTGTTATAAAGAATGGGAGAAGGGTAGGGTTCCAGAGTCTTATCTTATTACTGTCATCCTAAGGCCCGGTGCACACCTGAGCGATCCGGGACGTGCGTCCCGGGATCGTTCACAGTTGCAGAAAGTGATTGCCGCGCGACCCCATTGAAATCAATCCGCGGCAATCGCAGGAAAAAAGGCACACGTACTTTTTTTGTGATACACTACGCGCGGCTGTTTTAAACCGCTTGATCCACCTGGCGCGACAAGGGTGCCATTAGAAAACAATGGTACCCACAGCGCAATCGTCGGTGATGGGCGACTCGGTGACCGTGCTGTATCGTGCACGATTGCCGCGTGGTCACAGATCGCCCAAGTGTGCACCGGCCCTAAAGCTGAAATTGTGTTATTGGCAGGATAACCCGATGAAAATAAAAATTGAGAAAAAGAAAACTAATGCAGCTAGTCAGCTCATCATCATGCAAAAATGTCTGTAGTGCTTGTGGTTGCTTAGCCTAGATTACATGGTTCTTTGTTACAAGTAGGGATGCACGGATACTAGTATCGGTATCAGTGCCAAGTATATGGGTGAGTACTCTTACTTGCCCAAATACTCCGATGCCTAGCCCGATACTTACGATATCACGAAGCCAGGCAGCAAGTCATTATATGTCACCTGACGAGGGAGCATGGAGCTGGCTTCCCGGCCAATCAGGAAACCGGGCGCCTCGTCATTACACTGCGGCCAGCATCCTGATTGGCCAGAAAGCCGGCTCCATGCTTTCTCGTCACCTAGTGACGAGAAGCATGGGGACGCCTTGCCTGCTAATCGTGAAGCCGGGTGGCGAGTCATTACACACTGCCCGGCTTCCCGGCTAATCAGGAAGCCAGGTGGCGAGTCATTACACTCCACCTGGCTTCCTTAATGGGACTTCCGGTATCGGTATTGGCGAGTAGCGGTTAAAACAATATCGGTACTCGTACTCTATACCGAAATACCGGTATCGGTGCATCCCTAAGCTGTGTGTTTAACTCCATAGCTGCACAGTGCAGAGGGGCTCCTGTTTCCATTGAGGCCTTGTCTGGTAGACTTGCAAGGAGATAAAGAGGATCAAGCAAGACACAACCATTGTGTAGCACTATTAGGCAGGAAGCAGCGTCTGCATAAGAAATCAGCAAAAAAGGCCACTGGCAATATACATAAATAATGAAAAACGTTACACAAAAGTTATTAATATTTAAGTTTATTAATATTGAACTATAAAACTTTCATACAGATCTACAAAATTTAAAAAAATATGATTATTACAGCTCCCCTTTAATTGCTTGTAGCATGGTTTCCTTTGTGGCCTGTGCAGTGACTGGTCACAGGGTTGGTTGGCAGAACAAGTTGGTGCCCGCTGTATAACAAAGGGCACAGTGTCAGCGTTTAACCCCTAGGCACCCAGGATTCATCTGTCCTACTTAGAAGTCACACTGATCTTACTGGGTCAGTTCACCCCGACATTAATCCTCTCGGACACAGGAAGAAAAGCATCTTACAGAAGAGCAACTTAAAGCTTCTATTTTTCATTCTCAGTGTAAACCTCATGACCGCACAGTCTGAAGAGACGTAACTGCTTGCTCATAGTCAAAGTTAGTGGTCATGACTGTGGCATGCAGGAAAAGAAATTCACATTGATGACTCAGAAGTATTCAACCATCTACAGTAAGTCTAAGTGTAAAGCTGCCTGTAAATACGAGTGATAAGTGTACCATTTGATTACAGGAGGGGTCCAGTGTTAGAAGGAGAATAGCAGGGGATGGAGGTGGTAGAGCAGGAGCACTGTAGTTGGAGGAAAGCAGGGCATGGTAGCACTGGAACATGAACAGAGTAGAGCAGAGAGGCCCTGTAGCAGGATGAGGTTAGGTCACAGACACACAGCGAGAGTGCAGATCATGGAGGTGCTGGAGCAATGAGAGAGCAGAGCACGGAGGTGCTGGAGCAGTGAGAGAGCAGAGCACGGAGGTGCAGGAGCAGTGAGAGAGCAGAGCACGGAGGTGCTGGAGCAGTGAGAGAGCAGAGCACGGAGGTGCTGGAGCAGTGAGAGAGCAGAGCACGGAGGTGCAGGAGCAGTGAGAGAGCAGAGCACGGAGGTGCTGGAGCAGAGCACGGAGCAGCTGGAGCAGTGAGGGAGCAGAGAGAGCAGAGAGAACAGAGCATGGAGGTGCTGGAGCAGTGGCAGAGCATGAAGCTGCTGGAGTGAGGGCAGGGCAGAGCACGGACGTGCTGGAGCGAGGGCAGAGACGAGAATGGGGTGCTGGAGCTGCTGCAGAGCAAGGAGGGGCTGGAACGAGGGCAGAGCAGAATACAGAAAGCCTGGAAGGAGGGCAGAGCAAAGCACAGAGGGGCTGGAGCAGAGGCAGGGCAGAGCAGGGCACGGAGATACTGGAGCAGAGTGTGGGCATAGCAGGGCACGGAGATGTTGGAGCAGGGGCAGGACATGGAGGCTCTGGAGTAGGACCATATAATTACTACCATATAAATATATAAATGGTAAGTCCAGTCAATATAGATACATAATTTCAATTTCTGGTACATGATAAAGAAGTGCTCCACATAATAGTTCCCTACATCTCTCGAGAACGCTGATTGACTCCAGCATGGCTGAGAACAGAGTCAGGATTCTGAGCAGAA